TGTCTCATTGTGGTCATTTTGCATCCCATTTTGGACATTTTTTGTCTTATTTAGATCATTTGCATCACATTTTGGTTCGTTCTTCCACAACTCAGCTGCATTCTGAATTTCAGTTTGCACCTTTGCAGCCAGATTCATATTATTTATGTTTTAGCAGTGCAACGAGGTGCAGAGGACGACCTGCAGAATCAGAAGCTAACGAGCTCATGACTGATATCATTTGGTGGGTTTGTGTGAGCAGACGGGACCGAAGCGCAGATGTTGGAGCTAACTGGAGGAATAGGAAGCACCACGGCCGCCTGTTTACGCTGCTGGTTTCCAGGCCTGCAGAGGAAACAGGCCGTGAGTCACCGAGCTCGCTGACAGAAGGGAGGCGTTGCGTAAAACCTCCAGAACTCAGGTGTGATCCGAATGACTCGGTGGCTGCAGGGGGGAAGACGATGTAGACACGAGCTGACTGCACATGTGTCGAGTCATTAGTGCAGCTGTAGGATCACAGGCAGAGCAGTGAGATTTAGAGCCAGTGTGGGTATCGTGTTTGTGCAGCATGAGGCTTAAATCAGCAGCTTCTCACCTGTCCGACAGGTGAGTCACAGCGAGGACATGATGAGAAATCGTTCTTTAAGCCCACATTATGTAAACTGACTCAGAGTTGTGGGATCACTGCTGCAGTGGCCAGAGACGAAACTGAAACTACTTCAGGTTGCATAAAGGTGCTCGAGGCTGCTGGGTTTCTGTCTGAACCACGACCCTGCTGGACAGGCTGACCTCGCTGCCTGTTCATAAAGAAGCTGAACTGTACTTCTGCCTCCTTTGTCACTTTTTTGGCCACATTTTTCTGGAATAATTTCAGTTTGTGTAAAATGTAACGCTGCAGGTTCGTAACCTTTAACCTGCCGGGTTAGTTCGTAGTCTTCTGCTCTTCGGGGTTTGTGAGATGTTTTTAATGTGCTGTATGAATAGAGGTGATGTAACTCGACTTTGCATAAGGAGATTCTCTGATCAGTGGGGATATTAAAAGAGGTTAATGCTGCCACCTGCTGCTCCAAAGGTAGAAATACAGACAAGCAGCCCTCACGAGTGTAAATGGAGATTAAAAGAAGTCAGTATTAATACCTACTGGCTATTTTCATATTTGAATTTTGATGGTTTAATGCAAAAACTGCCGCTTGCATCTGATGATAAAGGGAATATAGTTGACATTTTAATGTCTGCTCAGATTAAGCAAGAAACTTGAACTTATCACAAAACAAATTATCCTTTAAATCAGTAGCATCATCTTTTATTTAAACAACGCAGGAGGACTGAATTAAAATGGGATCTTTTATTAAATATAGTTTGTTATCTTTAATATGTTTTTACACCACTATATGAACCCCCAAAATCTTAATTCATATATTTTACGTAGAATAAAAATACAAAACAAATCAGACATGAATGTCATAAAAGTCTGTTTAAAAAATGCTGCAGGGTTTATTTAGAAAAGAAAAAAACTTTAGAATTAGTGCTCTGTAATACTTATTTAAAAATCTTACTTTATTAATCAATGCATTTATTTTGCAGTCTAAAACTTGTTTTGTTTGTTTGTTTGTTTTTGTTTTACAGAATTTATGTATTTTTTCTGTTTAAACATGTTTTCAGTTCATTAATATCTTTTCTTTCACTTATTACTTATTTCACTTTTACTTTGTTTAGTTTTGCTGCTTAAAATATGCTTTTGGTTCATTATTATTATTATTATTATTATTATTATTATTCCTCCTAATTTATGTATTTTTGCTTTTTAAAACATGATTTTGGTTCATTATTAATTTTTACTTCATTTTTGCTGTTAAAACATGTTTTTGATTCCTAAATACTTTTATGTATTGTTTTTCTGTTTAAAACTATGATTTTGGTTTGCTGATAATTTTTAATTTTATTTATATTTATTTTAGCTGTTTAAAAGGTGTTTTTTTCTATAATAAGTTTTAATTTGTTTAGTTTTGCTGTTTAAACGTGTTTTTGCTTCATAAATCATTTACTCTTTATTTATTTTTTGCTGTTTAATTCATATTTTTCGTTTATGAATGTTATTTATTGCGTTTTGTTGGTAAAATCATGTTTTTAGTTTCTCAATGAAGAAATAAAATCAGGCAGCGACTAAACAGCTAAACGTGTAAAACATGAGACGGCTCTGCTCGGAGGCCCCCGGTGTGACGTATAATTGTGTCGCCGAGCTGCGGTGATATTTCAGGTCAGCTCGGAGGGTTTTTGGAGGTCGGAGAATCATGGTTCTGACGGTGATCCGGTCCGTTATCCCGTCCGGAGCTGCAGCGTTCAGAGCGGCCAATGTTGCCCAGAAGGTAAACATTCGGAAGGTTCTGGTTCTGGTCTTCATTTGGTCCAAAAGTCATGTCTGATCCACAAGGACAAGCTAACTCTGTTAGCCGCTAGCATCACAGTCGGTCACCGGCCAGCGTCCTCCGGCGGTTCGTTCATACAAATGACAGTCAGCAGAGACGTTAATGAAGAAGCTGTCAGCGCACCGACAGAGTTAAATGTCAGTAAATTTAGTCTCTGTGAGTGAATATTTCTACAGATAAACAGGACGAGCTGTCACCGCGTAGCTAGCTGTGCTGGTAGCCGTGCTGCTAGCTGTGTTGCTAGCTGCAGCTCAGGACGGATTTTTGTGCTCAGATCTACTTTTTATTCGGAATATTAAAATGTTTGAATCAAATCTTGTATCTGAAGCGCAGAGTAGCGACAGAGTGCAGAAGGTGTGATCAGGGCTGAAGCTGACAAACGTGCAAACCGCTGATTATGTACAATCTGTGTAATAATAATGGCAGTATTTCTATTCCTCCAGGAACTGCAGTACAACTGATATGTGCAATAATGTAGTTTTTTTGTTTTTTAGAACTAATACTTGGATAATTTGTGTGATTTTGCTTCATTTCTTAAGTGTTTACACCATCTTTGCTGCTGTAACAAGGCACATTTCCCCACTGTGTGATTAATAATCTTATTTCATGTTAACTTTAAGCAGCGATTGTTACCTGGGGATCCTCATCTCCAGGTGTTTGTCGTCGCAGATTTGTCGTATTAGTGAAAACTGTCGTCAGGACTGCCTGTAATAATGTCAGGATGCTCACAACATGCATGTCTAGCGCTTCACGGTACAAAATCTCCATTTAGACATTACAAACAGTGAGCAAGAATCTGAAAACATGCAGTGTGTGCACCGGACTGTCACTCAGAAGGACAGAAAGATCGGTGCAACCCGCCCTGATGTTTGTGCTACGGAGCCGGATGTGAGCTTCATGTGACTGCAGCTGTTCAGTTTAGTGAAGCCGGACGACAAAGATGCTCTGGATGTGTTGAACCGGCTTCGTGCTACAAACCTCTACACTGTGAGGCCTGATGAATTAATCGACTAATGATTATTCTGTCATGTTGTCATGTTGCCTCGACGTTGTGGATTAAAAACATGTTGGAGATGAAGCCTGACTCCTGTCTGAACAAGTGATTGACGAAGCAGCTTCAGAGACAGTTTCTGGACCTGAGCTGCTCGAGGATGTTTGTCATAATGAATCTTTAGCGCACAGTGCAACGAACTGCCTTCGCTGTGTGAGCACATCCGTAGTATTTGTAGCTTGTGTTTAGTGAATAGTTCCTACTTCATGTGTTAAACAGCCGACAGAGTAAACGAGACGTTTGAAGGTAAAACAGATGGAGGCGCATCAGATTTTTTTCCCTGTACTGCTGTGAGTAGACGTTAGTGACCCAGATGTTCATGTAGATTAATTGGTGGTGTTTTAGTTTTTGTGTCGAGCTCTTTATCTGCTCACGCTTCGACCTGCTGGTAGCGAAAATGACAAATTACAAGAAGTTCAGTATAAACAAACCTCATCAGCTAAACTCTGCTTTAAACATGACATCACTGAGGTGGATGAAATACGTGAACCAACCACAAGAGAAATTCAGCACAAACTTCCCAAATGACCTCGAAGTCGAGTCTCTGTGTAACTTTCATTAAAAGCTGAACGCGGTTCGGTTTGTTTGTTGAAGCCTCAGAACCGTTTCCAGGTCAAACGAAGATGAATTAATCGTCGACTTAATTGTAATTCTAATCTAGTCTGTGCCAAGGTTGGATGAGTAATCATCAAAGTGGGCGACGTTTGCATCCGTTTGAAGTGCTGCTGTGGGTCAAGAACAACGAGGTTTAGATCAAAAGTCAGTGAAAATAATGATCACGACTGTCCCACTTTGTGTTTAGACATCCTGGGAGGCTTCAGCAGGACGTGATATCAGAGGTCCAGTGAGTTGTTCTTAAGGCGCTTGTCTGGCGTTAAAACTTTTGTTACTTCGGTTGATGTTTACACGCTGTTCAGGGCTGAACAATTTTGGGAAAATATCAGCTTGTAGTTTTTCTGACAGATATTTGGGTTTTAGTTGTGATTTAATCGTGCAGAGTGAAGCTTCGCTGCAGTATTTACTGTGCAGGAGATTTAAAACGTCATCAAAGGCGTGTTGAACGAGGAGGAATCAGAAACTACTGACTCTGCTGCTCGCTGCTCGTTCACGCCTGCAGTATCCCTGTGACAGGGTTCTGCCCCGGTCCCTTACGGACCCCTCTGGGACCTGATAGTCTCACCGAAGCCCAATTCTTACACCTTGTTTCCTGTCGTGCAGGCCGGCGTCCACACGAGCTCGGCGAGGAGGCTGGAGTACGGCTGGTGGGCCTTCGTTCTGGGCGAGAGGACGACGCCGCGGCTGAAGTGGAACAGCAAGATCATCTCCGTAGAGGGAAACTTGGCCTCGGGGAAAGGAGCCTTGGCCCAGAAGCTGGCCGACAAACTGGGTGATTATCGGACCGCTGGGAGGCTTTCACAGCAGCAGACGGAGTTAAACGGAGGATTTGTCTCATGAGACGCAAATGTTTGTGTTTGCCAACTCCAGGTTCATTCTGCAGTTCAGAAACCAGACAAATGATCTGGTTTTTGGTCCTGACTGCTAAAAGCTGCACGAGAAGAGCAGCAAATATTAGAGCCTGTCAGTTTTTCTGTTGACGTTGTCCTTCATGCAACACGTCGTACACAGAGAACAGCATTTTATTTGCAGTCGTCGTACCAGTTTGGTTCATTGGTCACGAACAAGAAAGTGAGATTTAAGTATGTCCATTTAGCAGGAGCTCATTTGACCTCATTTATTTCTGTTTTTAGGGTTTTTTTGGTATTACAACAACAACAAAACGTTTTTTTAAAAAATAATTTCCTGTCTGATAAACGTGTCCCGGTGTCCGTGCAGGGATGCTCTACATGCCCGAGGCCGACACCTACTACCTGGACAGGATAAACAAAGAGAAGGAGCCGCTCCACACCGACTTCAACGGCATGTGCAGCCTGGAGAAGTTCTACATGGATCCCAAAGCCGCTGACGGAAACAGCTACCGGCTGCAGCGGTGGATGTACAACATGAGGCTGCTGCAGTACTCGGACGCCATCGAGCACTTGCTCACCACAGGTAGCCCGGAGCCCCGGTGTTCACGAATACAGCCGAGGACTAAAGTTTACATCCATTCACAAAGATTCATGTGTCAGTGATTCCATGATAGAAGATCCAGAGTTCTTGGAGTCACTGGAAACTACAGACTGAATGATAAACATGGTCTTTACAGGTGGATGGAGACGTTTACAGATACACGGTGAAGTCTTTGTGACGCCATCAGATGGATTCTTAGATTTACAGTTCATTAACAGAACCTCTGGTTTCCTGTCTTCTAGGCCAAGGAGTGATCCTGGAGCGTTCCCCGTTCAGCGACATGGTCTTCCTGGAGGCCATGTCCCAGCAGGGCTACATCAGGAAGGAGTGTAAGAACGCAAACAACCAGTAATGAAGTCAGGAACCGACCAGCCGGCGACGAATTCAAGGAGTTAAAATCTGAGCAATAAATCTTCAGATTGGCTTTTGTTTAGGAGACAAAACTAAAGAACTAAAGGTCGAAAAGGTGGCGTCAATGCAAGATATCTAAACTTTTTCCTTTATTCTTTGCTCTAAACTGAAACTAAGAGTCTTAAACAAACTGTTATTTTTATTGTTGACGATTTTCTGGATTCATCAATCACTCGTTTTGTCTCTAAAATATCAGAAAATAGTCCAAAATATTTTCCCAAAGCTCAAGATGACGTCTTTCAAAGTCTTGTTTTGTCCAAATATGTTCAGTTTACGGCCACAGGAGATGAACGAAGCCAGAAAATTCACATTAAAGAAGCTGCAATCAGGTCATTTAGAGTTTTTTTGCTCAAACCAAGTAATCGATTACTGGTGTAGTTGGTGGGTCTATCCAACAGATTAGTTGTTGCCGCTCGAGTTTGAAGCACAAACACTGGAAGACGTTTATTTCCAGGCGTCCCCAGTTCGGTTCTGGTTCATCTGTTTTGGATTTAGTCCAGAAGAAATGTCTTTAAAGTCTTTGAACGCTGGTTCTGCTTTGGGTTTCAGGCGCGAACCACTACTACGAGACCAGGCACATCAGCATCTGCGAGTTCCTGCCTCCACATTTGACCATCTACATCGACCAGCCGGTGGAGGAGGTGCAGAAGAAGCTGAAGCAGAGCGGCAAGGTAGCGCCGAGCCCTCCCCGACTCCGCTGGACTCCGCTGTCGCTGTAACATGCCGCCGTTGCGCAAAGCGTTTCAGCCTCAGCGGAGCGTAAAGAAAATAAAAAGCCTCCCGTCAGGATTAGTGAGATTTAAAGTCGGTGTTTTAAAAGAGGCCGATGCTGACGAAGCTGCTTGTGTCTCAGTCCTATCTGCAGAACGTACCTCTGGCTTATCTGAAGTGCATCGAGGACACCTACAAGAAGACCTTCCTGCCCGAAATCGAGTAAGAACTTCTGAATAAAGTGTGTTCGATATCTGACCTGTGTCAAACCAACACTGTGTAAAAGAATCAGAATCAGAAAGAGACGGATGAGGCGTCACCAATGTTAAACAACTTCCTGAAAATCAGAGTCCTGCTGAATGTTAGCAGCGTTTCAACATCCTAGCTTAGCATCATTAGCGGGACCCTCGGGTAGCTGAACGGGATTGTCCAAAATGACATGAAAGTCGTTTGAAATGACGTTCAGCACATCAAAGACAGCAAAAACTTAACTGAACAAAGACTGGTCCAATATTTGCGAAGAAAAAATGGTTTCACGACGACTTAAAATTTGTCAAAAATGACAAAGTTAGCTGGGTCAGTCTGACATTCGCCACAACTTGATGCCGTGAAGCGGCTTGAAATTAGTTGAAAATGACTCAAGCCTCCCCACAGTAACTCAAAAATTGTTCTAAAATGACATAAATTCCCCAAACTAACTCAACATTTGCCCAGAATGTGTTAAAAATAACAAAAACTTCAATCAAAATTATCCAAAATGACTAAATAATTTCCAAAACATAACAAAAAGATGTCTTCAAACTAAGTTAAATGGTTCACAGTGACTCTAAATGTGCTAGCTCGCTAACCCGACAACCACCAGACGCCTTTTTACAGCTACAGGCTGCAGAGTGACTTGAAATGTGTCTGAAATGAGGAAAAATGTGAACAAAACGATTTGAAAGTTGTCGAAAACAGCAAAGACTCGACTTAAAAGACAAGAAGTTCTGCAACAATAATCCTAAATGTTAAAAACAACAACAGCAACAACTTGGTCAAAAGAAGTATAAATAGTTAAGAATGACTCAAAATGTGGCCAAAATGACAAAATCCTTTCAAATACGACTCAATGTTTGTGCAGAAATTGATTCAAGGCGACTCAAAATGATCTAAAACCACTCAGACCTTGTCCAAAGTAACCTGATGTTTGCCCAAAAATGAACCCGGAGCTGCTCGTCAAAAGCTCTCATCGGTCCCTCTGTGTAAACAATCGCTTTGGTTGATTGGCTGCTACCCGTGACAGCCAATCAGAGAGAGCTGTGGGCGGGACATTTCTGACAACGCTTTGCAATAAGCAGTGAATGAAAACAGCCAACAAGCTAAAGATGCCAGATATGGATGTCGGTAATCCAAACGTTGTGTTCATGGGTCTGATGTTTGTCTTTCAGAGAAACGTCGGAGGTGCTGGTGTACAACACGACCCAGGCTCAGAACATCGACAAGGTGAGAACATACGGAACCGTACGCGGCTGAGCGGTGACGCTAGAGTCCGGAAAAGATGGATTCACTCCGGCTAGAAGTTTAAACTGAAACCAGTGACGTCAAAAAGTCACAAAGAAATGATGTCATGGGTTTAGTCGTCTGTTTTCAGGTGTTAAAGTTGGAATGCATAAAAATGAATTGCTTTTAAACTTTCTGTCTGATGCCGAACTGTGCAGTCGCTGAGGAACTGTTTTAGAACGTTTGTAGAACGTAGCTGACCGGAGTGTCGCCCTCAGGTGGCCGAGGACTTCGAGTACCTGAAGTTCAACAAAGGCCCGTGGCTGAAGCAGGACGACGTGACCTACCACCACATGAGGATCCTGTGAGTCCTCCACACGTCGCTCTGATCGACCAATGACACGCCTTCAGGTGGACTTTAAGTTAGTCAACGCTTCCTTGTTTGTTCTGTGTTCCAGCGTCGAGGACAAACACAATGTGGCCTCGTTGACCCTCGCACCGCGGTACCTGCCCGAGATCGTCATCGGGGGCAACGACTTGGACGACAAGCACGAGGCCTACAAGTCGGTACGTAGCCCCGGATCGACCCGCTAGAAGTCCTCAAGTCCTGACTGGAGCTCAGAACCGGCGTCGGCGTGCGATTCATGTGTTTTTAGTCATTTCATCGGAGTTTTGAGTGATTTTGGAGAAGTTCAGAGTATTTTCTGCTTGGTTCTGAATAGTTCTGGACAAAAGTTTGACTTTTTGGGCAATTTTTGAGTTCTGTACGACGAACGTCAGTCTGGAAAAAAATGTTGAGTAATTTTGAATGTTTGTTTTTTTTTTTTTTTTTTAAATGTAATTATTTATTTATTTTGGATACGTGTGGACCGGGTCTGGCAAAGTTCTGAATACTTTTGGAGACCTTTGGCTGACAAATGGTGTCGTTTGTCGTTTTATAAGTTAGTCAGTCGTCATTCTGGGAACATTTTGAGTCATTTTAGACAATTTGTGAGTCATTTTGGAGGAGTTTAGTCATTTGGACCCGGTTCTGAACACTTTTAGGCAATTTTTGAATAATTTTTGATTAAAGTTCATTCTGGAGAAGTTTTGAGTAATTTTAGAGAAGTTTCAGTCTTTTTGGACAAAAGTTTGACCTTTTGGTCCGTTTGAGTCATTTTTGATGATGGTTGTCGTTCTCGGAGCATCTTCACTCGTTTTTTGTGTGTTTATTTTTGTTTTGGGTTCGTGTCCGGTGGTTCTGGACCGTTCTGTTGTGTCGGCTGATAAATGATCGTTTTTAGAAAGAGAACCTGCTCTTGAACCCGTTGGCTGGTTTGGAAGCTCAGAGGTTCAGCGCCGCCTTGTCTCGTTCTTAGCGTCCGTCGATCGGTCTGAAGAGCCGCCGATCGGGTCCGGTCGGGTCCAGTCGGATCCGGTTGGAGGACGAACCGCCCTTTAATTCTGCGATTGGTCGCCGTCTCAGGATGAGTTTGTTAAAACCAAACCGTCCTCTGCCGGATGAAAAGTCCAGATGTGGAGGGTTCTGCTGCTGCCATCAGTCTGGTTCTGACCTTTGTGTTTGTGGACCGGAGCCGGTTCGTCTGGACATTTGGGTCCGGAGCCGGAGGACGAAGGAAAGTCGAGCAGCGAGGAGCTCGTTAGTTCTGCTTTTTATTCAACCTGCTGCTCAGAACCAGCGCCGGGGCATCGGTCAGCGGATCGGGTCCATGTTTAGAGCGTCATGTGCAAAAGACACGGATGAGGAACATCTGGAGGCTGTTTGGAGGAAACGGGTCAAAGGCTGGATAGAAGCTCAGAGCAGGAGACGGGTTCAGTCAGAACATCAGTCAGTGGGTCCATCAGAGCTGAGGTACCGAACAGTGTTCTACCTTCTGAAGTGTTCTGTTTGACCTTTGTGGTGTTTTGTTGTGTTCTGATGAGTTTCTGGAGTGTTTTACTGTCTTTCATTAGTTTTTCTCACATGTTTTGTTGTTTTTAGGTTTTTATTACGTTTCCGTCGTACTTTAAAGCGTTCTTTGCAGCATTATGTGTAATTTCCAGAGTTCTTCTTCTTCTTTTTTAATACTAGATGTAATTTTTGTGGTGTTCAGGTTGATTCTGGGAGGGTTCTGTCAGGGTTCTGTGGTATTTTTGTGGCTTTTTGCTTCATCCTGTCTGACTTTTTGGCATTTTGTGGATTTCGATGACCTTTCTGTGGTACCTTCTCAGAGTTCTCTGCAGTATTTTGCACGATTTCTAGAGTACTGAGAAATATTCGATGTATTTTTTGTGGTATTTTGTTTGATATTGAAGCTTTTTTCTTTCTCAGGCGTAATATCTAATTTTCTGTCTTATTTTTTAGCTGCGTGTTTTCATCATCGTGTGATTTAAATGATCATCTCAGTATAGTTTTATGGTATTTATTCTAACCTCATTTATTTAATTCCAGTCGTGTGTTTGTATTTTGCTGCTTTTTATTGGCTTCATATCTTCTGTTTAGTCGTCTGAGCAACATCTGGCTCCTTCAGGTTCATGAGGTTTCGTCTCCTCACGCCTCGGATCGCTTAAATCTGACCTAAAGTCGTGTTTCTGCTCCGGTTTCGACGTCCCGACCCTCCTTGTTTTCCTGTATTTCCGTCCTGTTCCTTTAATTAAAGGCTGTTTTTGTTCCTGCAGCTTCCGGGGAAGAGGTACGCCCCCGGCTACAACGCCGACGTCGGAGACAAGTACATCTGGCTGAAGTGAACCATCTGCTCTGCTGCACATCCCTCATAGTCTGTATGTATTAAAGAATAGATGTTGATCCAACGCCGGCCTCCGTGTCTCAGTGACTCCTCTGCTCACTCAGTCTGATTTACAAGGTTTGTTTCCTCACCTGAAGACTTGTGACGCCAGAAAACCTCCGAAGCTCAGAGGACGAAGAACAGAGACGAGTAATGATGATAAGATGATGTAAACAAATAAATAAATAAAAATCCATATATTCCAGGAACTTTATTTGTCGTGTCAGCTTCACATTCACGTGTTTGAAATTAGAGCTCGGTCCCCTTTTTATTTTCTATGATTTTACTAGTTATTGTCTGTAATTTAGCAAAATAAGGAAAATCGGTAAATTAGGATCAAATTAAATTTATGCCATTTTTAATTTTTTAATCCTTACTATAATTTTTTTTCTCTCTAAAATCAGCAAATCTTTTTTGTAAAATGTAAAAGAACAAATCAGGTTTGTAAAAATCCACCTGATTATTTTTTATTTATTTTTAAATGTGGACATTAAACACAGATTGAACCTTTTTTCCACAGTTAACATATTAAAATGTTTCTTATATATTTTTTCTCTGTTTGTGTTAATAATTATCTAGAAAAACAGAAAATCTGTAAAATACCCGTTAAAATTTAAATTTTAAAATCCATCAGCTGTTTTACTTCCTGATTTGATTAAATAAAAAGTTAAAGTCAAAACAACAAATCACTGTTTGTTAATTTTTTTTGTAATTGTGGGTATTTAGCACCGATTGGCCCATTTTTTATTTCATTTGTTTGTTTTTTTAAACAGTCAACATGTACAAAAAAAGTAGATTTATCTTTTTTTTTTTTTTTTTTTTAAAGATTTCTGTAATTTAGAAAAACAAAGAAACATCTGTAAAATAGCCGTTAAACTTTAAACTCCATTTAGCATTTTTCAATCCTGAACAAATTTATTTTTTCTTTCTAAAAATAGAAAATAAATAAGAACAAATCAGTGTTTGTGGAGAAAACTACAGATGTTTAATGTTTATTTACAGTTTGGTTTATTTTTTTATCCGTAACAAAACTGGAACAAATCTATAAAATTACAATTTGAAAAATCGTTTAGCATTTCTGAGTCTTTAACATAAATTAATGTAAAATAATGAAATGATTTTGGATATTTTTGCTGATTTAAATGCAGTCAAACGTTGTGGATTTTAGATGTTTGTTTTCTTTCCAGTGATTTTACTCGTTATCTGATTATCAGCTGCTTCGTTAGCGACGTTTCTGCTCATTTAGGATTTTATCTCTGGACGCCTTCAGGACCTTTTGCTGCTGAATTATTATGAATTAACTTCTAATGAAATCATGTTCAACCAAAAAGCTCCATTAAATGTAGGAAACGAGTTTTGCTCCACAATCAGACAGATTTTTAATTAACGTCTAATTATTCAGACACGTTCGGCTCCAGGAGTCGACTTCAAACCTGAAAATGTCATTAACTCACCTGGAAATGAGTTTTTAAAAAAAAGAAAAAAAGACTAACGGAGAAATGAGAGTTTTAATTAAACGCAGAAATTAATTCTGTGTCAAAAATATGAATGTTTTCAGCTTCAAAGGTTTGTCTAAACGAGTCGATCAGATTTATTTGATGCGTTTAATCAGCGGCTGTAAAAGAAGAAAAATGAGTTTAAACAGAGTGAAATGAGGAGTTTTAATGTCGGTTTAACATCAGCTGATTTAATCACAGAAACACACCCAGCTGATGGATGAAGTGAAAATGTGACCACGAGCTTTAACTTTATTATTTATTATTTATTATTTTTCCTGATCGTGGCTGCAGCTGATTGGTCGAGCAGAACCAGGTAACGCTGCTTCTTCACCTCAGATCTGAGTTCAGGCAGAAAGAAGCAGCGTCACTGAGGACATAATGTTTTATTTTCTATTATTACTGAACTTAAATGA